ATTCGACGAGGATCTCGACTAGTTTCAAGCCATGCTAGAGGCTCATATTCATGAGCAGCATTCCGCGACCCGCGACGCGGCGACTGTCGCGCTGCTACTGGCTACTACAGTGTTGCGGGTCTGGAGTGTGACACAGTGAGCGCGGTATGTAACACTGTTTTGCGTCGACCCGGGATTCGAACCCAACAACACCAACGCAGCTGCCGGCGGGCGAGTCTAGCGTGCCAACAGTGCCACGCGCGCCGCCGTCGCCGATACCACGAATGGAAGAAAGTGCGCGTGAATCACGGCAGAGGGCGCGCTGGGCCCGCAGACTCGAGTAGCGCGACAGTCGTCGCGTCGCGGTTCGTGAAATGCTGCTCATGAATATGAGCCTCTAGCATGGCTTGAAACTAGTCGAGATCCTCGTCGAATTACTACGTGAGTAAGCCGAAAACATAATAATTTATTTAGTATGTCGCACGAAAGTTATAATACAAATACTATAATATAAAACATAAAATACTAAAATACATGGACGGGAAATGCCGGCTATGTGGCGTCAAAGACGAGACCGCGCAACATATTGTGGCGGGATGCGAGCAGCTAGCAGCTAGCTGGAACCTACTACACCAAGAGACATAACAATGTGGTGCAGAACTTGTACTGGACCCTCCTCAAGAAACACTAAATGGAAACAACCAGCTTATGGTGGAAGGAACAGCTCATTCAACCGCAAGTCAAAGAAAATGATTCATTAAATATAATGTGGGAGATTCCAGTTCAGACAGATGTCACAGTTACACACAATAGACCAGATATTATTTATATTAACAAAACTGATAATAAAACATATTTAACTCGTCGAGTACCGGTTTTGTAGACACAATTATAGAACAATAGGTTGCGGTCACCGGTGACCGCTTGGTGTTTGACAGTTTAATAGACAACAATACCATCAGACTACAATATAGGTGCTAAAGAAATAGAAAAATTAAGTAAATATCATCTATTACAAAAAGAAGTAACCCGTTCATGGAAAACACACGTTCAAGTCATACCCATAGTCATAGGAGCGTCCGGAATGGTAGCTAAAAGTATTCACAAATATTGCGCACAGATAGACTCCAGCATTAACATCTACATCATGCAAAAATAGGCAGCTATTCACACAACCACCATCTTGAGTAAAGTCTTGGGGAATACTATTTATGTAGACAGGGAACGCGATCATCCTCCTCTTGCGGGAGGGAGGATTGCGAAGATGTAGGGCATCACACACACAATCCTTACTAATATTATAAATCGGAAAGTGAGTTTGTTTGTTTGTTCCGCTTTCACGCCGTAAGTACTAAACCGATTGCTTTGAATTTTTGCAGATGTATATTATTATAGTTAGAAGTCCGGATTAAATAATAGGGTACTTTTTATACCGGAAAAATTTGATATTCCCGAGGGAAAACAAAAGTATTGGTATAGATGGCGCTGTATGTATTTGTATATGTCACATTGGCTTTTTATCCTTTTGTGACGCGAGCGAAGCCGCGGGTAAAAGCTAGTAAATACATAATTATACAAGTTACTAATTTACACACGATGTGCGTGGTCTCGTGTTACACTTTTCGGTGTCAAGTAGGTGGCCTCGAAAACGTCGATATATGACACCCTTCGGCCAAAACTATGCCTTCAGGAATTTGTCGAGATGTTGAGTCGGAACTATTAGTATTACTCTATTAGTAGAATTCTATTAGTAGGTACTTTTTTTTTTAAACGTTGCCACACATTAGGATTTTCTCCTGCGTCGTGGGTGCGTTTACAAACATACAAGTTCACATACACAATGACACCCAGACCCGAAACAACAATTTGTGGTTCACACAAAGTGTTCTTCCGTGCGGGAATCGAACCCGGAATACGTTGCTCGTTCTTCTCCATTCGAATATACGTTTTGGAATGAGCACCTAGCTTCACCTAATTTCACTGACGGACTGACTGACAGACTATTATTTATTTTGTATTTGTTGACGTTTCAAAAGTACCAAACTATGATAAAATTGACATAAATGCTTTGACTTTGACTTTGACAACTATTTGTACAGTAAAATAGTTGTTAATATTTATATGTTTACTAACCCAATTGTTTTGTCCTTTCAGCTACTAACAACTAAAAACTACCGCAAAGTTATGTAAGTTCGACGGTTCATTAATCTGCCGTCACCGCCTGACACTGGCAGTATAGTCGACAACATCGTATTGGAGACTCGGTTGCCAAAGAAAAAAAAAACTCTGAGATAAACGTCAGGCTTTAAACTCTGTACCGTATACACTTGTCGAATCATTAGACAACCTGATGAGACACTAATCATCGTGGCACAATAAATTTTTCAAAAACAGATACTCGTAATCATACAAACATATTTGATTTACAATTACATTATACACTGAGTGTATGTACTCTCGCAGTCTAAACGTATGGACCACCAGAATGCCTGGGGGACCTTTAAAAATATATAACACTAGCTTTTACCCGCGGCTTCGCTCGCGTCACAAAAGGATAAAAAGTAGCCTATGCGACATATACCAATACAAATAGCGCCATCTATACCAATACTTTTGTTTTCCCTCGGGAATATCATTCCAGGATAAAAAGTACCCTATTATTTAATCCGGACTTCTAACTATACATCTGCAAAAATTCAAAGCAATCGGTTTAGTAGTTTTGGCGTGAAATCAGAACAAACAAACAAACTCACTTTCCGATTTATAATATTAGTAAGGACCACCACAGATGGGGCCCAATAGGGCTGTTGCCGATTCGGAGTCGCAGAGTACCTAACGGGTAACCGGGGCTCCGGCTCGACGTGCAGGAGAAGGAACTGGGTGGTTTTTAGTCAGTAAGAGTCTGACACTCCCTTCCGCCTCACCCAGGCGGAAGCAGTCATTCAATATTTTCCGCCCTTAAAAAAAAAATGCGACTTATACCAATACACATAGCGCCATCTATACCAATACTTTTGTTTTCCCTCGGGAATATCAAATTTTTCCGGGATAAAAAGTACCTGATTATTTAATCCAGACTTCTAACTTTACTGCAAAAAATCAAAGCAATCGGTTAAGTAGTTACGGCGTGAAAGCAATTCTTCAAGCACTATCCAATTTATAATATTAGTAAGGATTATGTCTTGTATCCCCGAAGGGGTAGGCCGAGGTGTACATTACGGCACTTAATACCACTATACCATGTAACACCCACTTTTCACTATTTATATTATGAGTCCCATGTAATAGGGGGTGAGCCTATTGCCATATACCGGGCACAATTCCAGACTCCGTGCTACTAAGTAGGTACTAAGATTTACCTTTAAAAATAACGTTTATGTCGCAGAATCAACAAAGATGCACAACTATCGAGTATCGTTATTTTAGAACAACGCCATCTGTTATCATTTGTCGGAAACGTCAAGCAGTGTGCTTGGGTGATGGTCGGTATGGGACGTGGCATGTTGGCATTGGAAAGGCGTCACTTTTGAGTTGGACACGAGGGTGAGCGGTTGTTCGGCCAGCCCGTACCGAACTTACCG